CCACCCACTCCAGCTGCCAACACACCTGCAGAACAGCCCAGTCCAGCCCCTACCCCAGAGGCACTGACAAAATGAGCTGATTGTCAAATTCTGAAATAGTCAGGGACACCAGAGTGCCCCCGAGACACCAGTTGCTGCCTCCATCTCCTCACTGTCACCCTCCCTGTGTGGGACAGTGCAAGGCAGTGTGTAACCATCAGGCCGGGTTCCAGCAACATGGCAGGTCACGCTCACAGCCAAAATGGTTCCCATTCCCAACCACTGAGCCACACTGAGCCTCACACCAGGAGGCAAATCTAGAAAGTGAGCTTGTCCCAAGAGGTTTACCCCAAACACATGCAGAAGGTTCTGGCAGTGTCGGGGCCCTGTCTGACTGTGCACCCCTTTCTGCTTACAACCCGGACACTGCGCCTGTGGAGGGTGTCCACCAACCTGGTCATCTCGCTGTCTAAGGCAGGGGTCTGTCCTGGGGCACATGGCCATGCCTAGAGATGTGGTTGGTTGTCACATCTGGGGCAGAGCTGCTGGCCTCCAGCAGACAGAGCCCAGGGAGGCCACCGAACTCCTACAGTGCACCAGGAACCCCACTCAATAGAAAATGAGCTTGAATGTCGGTAATGCTGCAGTCGAGAGACCTGCTCCAAAGGCCCGTGGAGGCCCGGAGGGTGCGTGATCTTGACTTTACAGACAGAGACAGTCTTCTAGAAAGCAGGTGACAGGAATGAATCTCACTGCACTAGAACCCCCTCCTTAAACACATAATCTCTGCGTTTTTCTTCTAAAAAAATGACTTTCTGTGGCTCCTTATTGCTCACAGAACAAAATAAAATCGGAGCCCTTTACCCTGGCCCCAAGGTTTTCCCAAATCCCATGTGGGTGCTCTTTCCTCCTTGCCTTCCTCGGCCCTGCCCCATGCCTTCATTAGGTCTGTTCCCTCTCTGCGATGTGCTTCCCAAGGACCTCTATTTCCCCAGGGTTTTACTTCAGGCTGCTCTAACAAAACACCATAGACTGGGTGGCTTAAGCCACAGAAGTTGATTTCTCACACTTCTGGAGGCTGGAAGTCTGAGAGCAAGATGCTGGAGAGGCAGGTTTCACCCTGAGGCCTCTTCTCTTAGCTGTAGGGCAGCCATCTTGCTGTGTTCTCATACGGCCACATCTTTGTGTAAGACTGGAGAGAGAGGGAGGAGGAGAGACAGAGAGAGAGAGAGAGCTCTGGTGTTTCTTCTTCTAAGGGCTCCAATCCCATCAGACCAGGACGCCGCCCTCCATAACTTCCTCTAATCCTAGTTATCTCGGCCCCAAAGTCCATCTCCTAATGCCATCACAATGGGGGCTAGGGCTTCCATAAAAGAATGTGGGGAGCATGCCACAGCACCCATTCCCCTGGCTCCATCTGCCGAGGCCTCCTGGTCACATAGACGTGAGATGCTGCGTGTTAGTTACCTCTCGAGAGAATTCCCAAAGGGCACAGCATCCCGATCATCATGAGTTCAATACATCTTGTCAGGGCTGGACTCAGAGATTTTGTCCAGCTGAGTTAGGGTCTCCTGAAGACATCCTGAGCCCGTCTGTGCCTGGAGCCTGCAAGGTGGATGCAAGTCAGAGATTGCTGCCCCTGTCCAGGTCACAGCAGGCCGAGCACCACAAAGGGAGAGGGATACGAGCTGGAAGATCCCCTTCCCCCCACCCAGGCCTCCTGTGCACGGAGAGGACAATAAGACCTGGTACTTGCTTTTCATCAACAAGGGAAAAGGACCTAGTGGCGATCAGGTAATGGCCTCATTTATGCTGCAATTATCTGTAATTTGGGCCATTGTAACTGATGGGTTGATGACTGCTTTTCCTGAACACAGAATAAAAATGAACTCCTTGGAGTAGCTGTTTCTATGGTTGTATTTTGATTTTTTTCTTTTTTTTTTTTTCAATGTGTCTATAGCTGAGATGTGAGCTCCTTTCTTGGCTACAAGCCTGAATTCTTCCTATTGCACCTAGGAACTCGTTGGCTGTACTGGCCGCCACGCCGTCGTGAAGACCCAAGTCCAAGGAAGGGCAAGACATTGACTGATGCCGAGAAGGAACCTTGGCTGCCTATGGGCAAGTTTCTCTCCATTTCATTTGCATTTTTATTTCTTTACTTGCCCCTCTGTTCATAACTTTAATATTTGAAAATGTTAAAGGCAAATGGAGATTTATATTTAAATTTGCTTTGGCATCACCTAACAAGATTTGAGTTTCATTCGAAGCTATTAAAAACACATTTCAAGATATTTGCCAGAATGAAGAACTTAAGCTGAGAATGTTCTAGAGAATTGACCCTTCAGAGTGAGGGCCAGCTCACAGCTGATGGCAGAAGAGCTCATCTCCACACCCATGTCATCACTGTGTACACAGAAGGGGTTCGGGGCATGGCAGTCTCAAGGTCACCTGGGGCCAGCCCCCATGGACAGTCAAGCCGCCACGCCTCCTCTATCCCTCACCTGGATCTAGTTAAGGACAAAGCCTTTGATTCCCCAGTGAGGACTCTGAGTGAGCAATCCTAGACATAATGCCTACATTGGTCCAAGTCAAAGGTGAACAAACATTTTCTACAAAAGGCCAGATAGTAAACATTTCAGGTTTTGTGTGCCTCACAGCCTTGTCATGAGTACTTGACTCCCCTGTTGTGGTGTAAAAGCAGCCACAGATAATGCCTAAATGAACAGTGGTATGTGTGTGCCAATAAAACTTTATTTATGAAAACAAGTGGTGGGCCAGGTTTGGACCATAGTTTGCAGATTCCAATCTAAATTCCCACTCAGCCATGAAGGATTGTTTCACCTCTGATCCTCCCTAACGAGCACCTCTGTCCTCCCCTGCTGGGGCTCTCTTCTGTCTTCTCCTTCACGCAGATCTGCCTCCCCCTGATCCTGTCTTGAGTTCTCCTTCCAGCACTTCCCAAGACACAACCTTTCTCTTTTTCTTCTTTTCTCTTCCTCATCCTGTTCCTCTTTTCATATTTACCACCTGACCACCTCTTCCAGTCTCTCTCCAATGATAGGATCAGAGCATCAGCAAATAGAAGAGTAACATGCTATTTGCTGTCCCTAAAGAATTTTATGCAAAACACACACACACACACACACACACACACACAAACAAACACAAAGCAAAACAAAACAAAACCCGAAGACCATCTGATTCTCTCTTCTGGCTAGACTCTGGGACACTTGGGCATCTCCAGCTGTGTGGAATTGGAGCCAAACACAAGGTCAGGGTCAAGCCAGAAAGGGCCCTGGGGTGGGCCTACATCAACTAGACATGAGGCAAGGTCTGGCTGTCTGAGCCCATACGGTGGGGTGATATGCTCGGTGTCTGCAACCCACACTCCACCCTTATGCAGCTGCCACAGCTCAGTTCCCAGAAAGCCTGGCAGCCGGCTCTGGGAGGAGAGCTCCTGCCCTCCTGAAGCCTACCCATGCTGTGGGGTCTTCAGGACCTTCTCAGGGAGTGTGCCAGTAGTGTATTCTCCAGGGCTTCCCCAGCCTCCAGCAGCCAGACTGCAGCGTCCCCTGCTGGGGCTCTCTTCTGTCTTCTCCTTCACGCAGATCTGCCTCCCCCTGATCCTGTCTTGAGTTCTCCTTCCAGCACTTCCCAAGACACAACCTTTCTCTTTTTCTTCTTTTCTCTTCCTCATCCTGTTCCTCTTTTCATATTTACCACCTGACCACCTCTTCCAGTCTCTCTCCAATGATAGGATCAGAGCATCAGCAAATAGAAGAGTAACATGCTATTTGCTGTCCCTAAAGAATTTTATGCAAAACACACACACACACACACACACACACACACAAACAAACACAAAGCAAAACAAAACAAAACCCGAAGACCATCTGATTCTCTCTTCTGGCTAGACTCTGGGACACTTGGGCATCTCCAGCTGTGTGGAATTGGAGCCAAACACAAGGTCAGGGTCAAGCCAGAAAGGGCCCTGGGGTGGGCCTACATCAACTAGACATGAGGCAAGGTCTGGCTGTCTGAGCCCATACGGTGGGGTGATATGCTCGGTGTCTGCAACCCACACTCCACCCTTATGCAGCTGCCACAGCTCAGTTCCCAGAAAGCCTGGCAGCCGGCTCTGGGAGGAGAGCTCCTGCCCTCCTGAAGCCTACCCATGCTGTGGGGTCTTCAGGACCTTCTCAGGGAGTGTGCCAGTAGTGTATTCTCCAGGGCTTCCCCAGCCTCCAGCAGCCAGACTGCAGGGAAAGGCAGCCCTTCCACCTGACAGCTGTCCCCAGTAGACCATGGGGAGGGTTTCATACCTCCGTTCCCTGACCTGACCCAGCGAGGGTGGGATCTGGCTCTTTGATGACCCCCCAGGAGATTCTGATGACAAGCCCTGTGTGGAGGAAGGGAAGGCTTTCTGCCTTTCTGCCACGGCCCAGCCACTGCCACCACCTCTGCAGCCTCATTCTGTACCTCACCGACTCTGCCACTCAGGTCATTCCTGACACTGGAACGATGGGGCTCCAGAGGAAAGGGACAATTCCCCGGCTGGGAAGTTGAGAGGGAGACTTACTGCCAGTGCAGGTGGCAGCGTCCAGAGATGGACTTGGAGGGACAGGACTGCAGCACCCTGAGAAAGGCTGCAGTGCGGGGGAAACCTGAGCACAGTGCTAACACCAGGCTAAGAGAACCCAACTTTCAGGGCTGGCCCCTGCACTTGCACTTTCTGGGAGGCTCGCATTGGCGTGTTTATGCAGCCAAGCAAAACTGTCCAAAATCAGATCTTCCAGTGTGATTGGTGGTGATTTCAGGCTGCCCTACTCCAGCTTCCCGCCCCCCACTCCCCCGTGGTCTCGCTGGGGGCGAGGGCAGACATTAGGCTTCGTCTAAGGGAAGGTGAGTCAGGCATACCATTAGTTCGCATTGGATAAGCGAGTTAGTTTCTGTGGCTGTTGTAATAAACGACCACAAACTGGGCACTTAAAGCAACAGACATTTCTTCTCCCACCGTCTGGAGGTCAGAAGTTCTCCATCCGTGCATCAGCAGGGCTCCAGGGGAGGATCCCTTAAATCCTTGGCTCTCCTTGGCTTGTGGCTGCACCCTGCCTCCGCTCTCTGCCCCGTTTTCTTCCCTCTGTGTGTTTCTGTGTGTGTCCTAGTCCCTGCCATGGTTTGCAGAACGGTTTGTAACCCCAGAGACATCCTGGAATTTGGTCCCTGCTGTAAAGACATCAGTAGGCGCGAGGACCTTAAAGAGTTGAAGCCCAGCAGGCGGCGGTTGGCAGTCCTAGCTCTCGCGAGATGGGTTTATTCCCGCGAAAACAGGAGGTGTTATAAAAGGAAGATGGAGCGGGAGGTCTGGCTTCGCACTGTCCGCCGGCCGTTGTAACTCTGCTGGTACCAGCGCCACATCTTGGACCTCTGGCTGCCGGCGGGTGAGTCAGATGCACCTCTGCGCCTTCGGAACCATCGCCCGGACCCCGCTATAAAGACAGCCGCCATGGGGCCAGCAGGTGGCGCAGTGGTTAAGGGCCTGGACTCCGCGAGGCTGACTGGGGTTTGAGTCTGGACCTGGTGGCTTGAAACTCTGGGCGCGTGGGTGGGTCCCCAACATCGGGAGAGGAGCATGGAGGAGAAGGGATTGTGGCGTGGCCATCCCCGCCCCTCCCAGGGGTGTGTGTGATTTCTCGCTCTCTGTCTCTCTGGCGAGCGCAGGGCCCTATAGCAAAAAAACCCTTAGAAAAAAAAAAAAAAAAAAAAAAAAAAAAAAAGCCGCCATCAGTGAGGCCCGCCCCAGCCCAGCAGGCCCTCACTGTACTCCATTACATCCTTGAAGACCCTGTTCCTAAATGAGACTACATTCGCAGGTCTGGGCCGAGGATTCAAGTGGTTTCGTCCAGTCCTGCTCCCGGTACTGGACTCAGCTGGGACCCGCCTGCCCGAGGCCTGCAGGCTGGTTCCGATCCTCACTGGTCAGCTCGGGTCTGTGGAGTTGAGCTCCCTCGACCTGTAGGACTGGGCTTGGCTTTGGGGGATGCAGTGTAACACACACAGCCGGTGTACTGGTGTGGTCATTTCTGGGTGCAGTTTGCTGCCGCCGTCCCCATGTGGAAATGACCCTGTGCTGGGACCATGTGCGACTGACAGGCTTGTGGCAGACAGGAGGGGCCTGATGTGGTGTGACCCCCCAGGATGGTAGGGGGCTGAAACAAGGTATGAGAAATGGGGGCAGTCACTGGTCTGTGGGAACCTGTGACCCAAGGTGGGCACTGCAAGAAGAGGTCTAGTTCTTGTCATGGTGGGTGGAGGACGTCTTTCCTGCCAGCTGTTAGAACCCCTGTCTTTTTTCTTTGCTTTCCTTTTCTCTTTCTCTCTTTTTTTTTTTCTAATGAGAATTGAAACAAGCTCTTCACAATCCCAGTGCTCTGAGCATACTCAGAAGCACCTGGTACAAACTTGGCATGCCTGTGAAAGCCCACAGACGAAAGCACCTTGCTAGAGGTCTCCCCAAATGACACCAGCTCTAAAGGCATACGCCGAGTTATGGGCTGCAGGAAACGGCACCGTCAGTAACAAAGTGAACTTACCAGTCGTGCTGACAGGAGACTGCATCGTCCCTCTCCTCCCGTTATAGAAAATAATGGCCAGCCCAGTGGTTAAAGGAACCGGATACCACATGGCTGACTGTGGTTCGACTCCTGGGCCTGGCACACAGGCCAGGTGTGCGTACATGTGCATTGCCCAAAATCTTGACAAGATGGAGGGGAAGGTATTGGGGTGTGACCACACCTCATTGAGGGGTCTTTTACTCTCTCTCTTTGGGGAGGGCACTCACCCTCTGGCAATAACAAGAAAAAGAAAAGAGTAATACAAAATCATTGTTATATGAGGGGTAAACACTGAGTACTTATTCAGACATGCAAGGGCAAAGGTATTGCAGAGTGAATGAGGCAACTAGTAACAATTCCGATTTTTCTACAGTTTGTAATGTTGATAGTAGTAGTCTTTTAAAATTTGTGACTGGGAACCAGCAGTTAGTGTAATGGCTATGTTGCTGGACTCCCACGTAGTCGACCGCGGTTCGCGTCCCGGACCCGGTGGCTTAAAACTCATGCCGGGCGCGTATGCGTGCGTGCCCAAGATCCCGAGAGGAGAATGGAGGAGAAGGGATTGCGGCAAGACCATCCCCCCTGGGGGGTGATTTCTCGCTTTCTGTCTCTATGTCTCTCTCTGTCTGGCGAGTGCACGCGCCCTATAGCAAAAACCTCTCAAAAAAAAAATTTGTGACTTACTGTGGTTTAATTTCTGAATCTGATCGTTATTTCTATGCTTACATTTGTCTTAGTTATTTTATATACTTAAAACTTTCATTTATTTCTTCCTTGCGTGAGCAAGCCAGACAGACAGACACACACCATCCCCAGACAGGATCTCGGTGTCATGACCACCCTAGCCCCAGATCATAGGCACCAGAACCGGTGTACTCAGGAACCCAGACCAGGAACTTTCCCACGTGGGAGTGCCTCACAGGGGGTCCTGTTTTGCCCCTGCCTGAAAGATTACTGGGCTTTGACCAGAGGGAGTGAAAGTGGGAGGGGAGCGTGAGGGACCTTGGGAGTGTTGGGGAGGGCACTCACCCTCTGGCAATAACAAGAAAAAGAAAAGAGTAATACAAAATCATTGTTATATGAGGGGTAAACACTGAGTACTTATTCAGACATGCAAGGGCAAAGGTATTGCAGAGTGAATGAGGCAACTAGTAACAATTCCGATTTTTCTACAGTTTGTAATGTTGATAGTAGTAGTCTTTTAAAATTTGTGACTGGGAACCAGCAGTTAGTGTAATGGCTATGTTGCTGGACTCCCACGTAGTCGACCGCGGTTCGCGTCCCGGACCCGGTGGCTTAAAACTCATGCCGGGCGCGTATGCGTGCGTGCCCAAGATCCCGAGAGGAGAATGGAGGAGAAGGGATTGCGGCAAGACCATCCCCCCTGGGGGGTGATTTCTCGCTTTCTGTCTCTATGTCTCTCTCTGTCTGGCGAGTGCACGCGCCCTATAGCAAAAACCTCTCAAAAAAAAAATTTGTGACTTACTGTGGTTTAATTTCTGAATCTGATCGTTATTTCTATGCTTACATTTGTCTTAGTTATTTTATATACTTAAAACTTTCATTTATTTCTTCCTTGCGTGAGCAAGCCAGACAGACAGACACACACCATCCCCAGACAGGATCTCGGTGTCATGACCACCCTAGCCCCAGATCATAGGCACCAGAACCGGTGTACTCAGGAACCCAGACCAGGAACTTTCCCACGTGGGAGTGCCTCACAGGGGGTCCTGTTTTGCCCCTGCCTGAAAGATTACTGGGCTTTGACCAGAGGGAGTGAAAGTGGGAGGGGAGCGTGAGGGACCTTGGGAGTGTGGGACAGAGTGGGCTTAGGGCCAGTGGGGAGAATGGGCCAGTATGAGGACGCCCGATGCTCCTGAGGCACAGGGGAGCTTTGGCGAGTTTCTGAGGAGGCACACCTCACCCCACCTATCCTTGGACATGCCATCGGGGCAGGGTCTGCCAGGCTGGGATCTAAGTGGCATTTGGGGTCCTCCCTCTGCCATCACCAGCCCACACCAGGGCCTGTGGTGCCGATTGGGGGCTGGAGCCAGGTGACGTTTGGACTCAGTGGCTGCCGGAGGCAAGGCCAGATGTGCTCAGAGGCCTAGCTGGGGTGTTCCCCATGCAGGAGCTGGGCTGAGAGTGACTAGGAGGGATGGAGGTGCGTTCTTAGTGGAGGGGCCCTGTTGCGCCCCTCACAGCCAGGCCCTTGGCCCAGCAGCGAGAGGATGGAGACAGCGCTTGGCGCAGACGGGGCAGAACGGAGCTGGCGTCGCCCGTCAGTCTCAGGCTGTGTGTCTCCAGGTTGACTAGAACCTTGGGACCTGGGGACAGGGACCCCTCCTCCCAGCCCAGTTACATGCTCACACATCTAGAATGACTGAGGCTGCCTGAAAGTGGCCACCCCGTGTCTGGGAGGCCTGTGGGAGGTGAGCACAGGAGATGTGCCCACAGTTGCCTGCCCCAAACCTCACGGGGCCAGCAGGGAATGTCACAGGCCCTCGCCTGACTACACTTGCTCCCTCCCAACCCCCTGACCCCACACACGTTTACCGAGAGCCCACTCAGCGCCCAGCCCTGAGCTACGCGCCTGAAGACGGATCTCGCCGGTGATGTTGTTAGGGCCCACACAGATGCGCAGGAGAAACTTTCTTTCACGTTTGGGATGCTGGTATGATGACTGGAGCTATGCAGCTCTCTTAGATCATGAGATCACATACGTGAAGGTCGCCAGTGCTCTGAAAGTGACAGTGGAAAGAAAACAAGCCTGCGTCACTGAGGAGCACAGAGCCAGCCCTGTGACCACCTTCTGGGAAGAGGGGTAATTCGTGTCTCAGAGTCATGGAGTCCTCACTGGTCAGGTGTTCATTACTGTCAGTCAAATCCTCAGGCCTGACCCACTGATAATGCTTCCGAGACATTAGCACGGTGGTATCACAGCACGCTTATGTGCCAGTGGGAAAGATTATGTGCCAGAGAGAGGCAGGGAGGCCAAGGAGAGGAGACTAGTGAAGAGGCTTATGTCAGAAATAGGCATTAAGAGCTTACAGCCAGGCTTCAGTGCTTTGACGGGCTGTATGGACCAAGGGTACAGCCAGCAGAGCATCTGACCCAGGCCGGGGTGTCTAGGGGGATTCCTAGAGCTCTCTGCCAAGGGGGTAGGCCAGTGAGGACTGCCTTTGGATGCATAGGGTCCCCAGGCAGCGTTCTGTGTCCACTCTGGACCGTGTGCCACCACCGAGGACCCAGCAGGCCTCTACCTGAGGTCGTGGCTATGGGTCCCATCAAGGTCTAAGGACCCCTGAGGCCAGGCCTGATGGAGTCCTGTGAGACCCAGCCTCTGATCCCAGCGCTAAAGAGCGAAGCCCAGCCTGGTGGCATCTCCACCTCTGGCCCGCCCTTTTCCCCTTGTGGAAGGCCACCGTGGCCCGGCTGTTTCTGCACCTTGCTCCCTTTTCCTCTCTCTCTGCCCTTAGGCCCAGAAACCTATCTTGCAGGTCAAGTTTCTCAGCCTTGGCACCACTAGCGTTAGGGCCGGATCACTCTCCGTGGTGGGCAGCCCTCTGCACTGCAGGGTACCATGCAGAACCTCTGTGGCCTCCATTGTGTGACAACCAGTAATATCTGGGCATTGCTACACGTGCCCCAGGCAGAATCTCACACTAGTGGGGTGACAAGGAGTGGCAGGAGGCTGAGGACCTGAGAGGTGACCTCATGCTG